GACAATGAGCTAGCGGGAGAGTTCGAAACGTCGGACAAATACACTCCTGGTCTCAGAGGACGTCTTAACTTCTTTTATCGAACCTTGAATTATAATCATCAGTTGGTTAAGGTACATCCATGTTCGAACTACCATAAATGTATGGTTGCAAAATGACTTGATCAGTCAACCTCCAGACCTGGATGTCTTAATCTACCGAACGTCCCCTCTCATCTCCCCCCTATTCTTCCTGTGTCACTAAACGTTTCTACGTTTCGGAAAACCCGGTAGCCGGTACCTCGTTGCGAATCCCGATGAATATGGCTGCTCCTATGCGTGCCACCACGCCTCCCCCAGGTTCGGCGCGCAGCCCAAATAACGCCTGCCGTAGCCTAATCTGTCCTCTATGTTTGTCCAATGCATCTACCACGTGGATAGACACAGAGAGCAGTTTAGCCGCTGTTTTCCACTGTATACTCCACAAAAGGGTGGTGCAGGGACGGTGAACTGCGTTGGATTATAGTGAAAGTAGAATTGTGCAACATCTACCTCCCTTTACCTCCAGTCTCCCAGCTGTGTCCGGTGTCAAGATGAAGTCAATAAGACCGGGGACGGCGCAGGTGGCTGGCCCGGCCGAAGCCGCACATATTCTTGCCACCATGACCCCCTCCCTCTCCCATATTTGCCGTTTGTTATGGGAAAGCAAATCAAATAATACCTGCCGTACCCTGATCTGGCTCCCCATAGGTCCAACGTATCTTCCAAGTGGCCCATTTAGGGAACACACAGACACACACACGACAGTTTGACCCGCGATTTCGACAATGTCCACCGTATGTTTCACAGCAGGGTGGTGCAGGGACGGTAGCTCCCATTGGATTATAAAGAAAGTAGACTTACTGTGTATCTACCTCACTCTCTCCCCACTCCCCCACCTGGGTCCAGTGTCAAGAAAAATTAAAGAAGACCGTAGATGGGAGAAGGCACAGAGACGATAGGAAAAACAGACGATAATCAAGCTTGATGATATGGCCTTTTATAACTCATACTGAAAGTTAAAACACTTTCCCAGAAAGCTGCACATAAACGGACGTGAGAGCATTTTGCCTGCAGTGACACGCCGCGTAACCACTATTTGCTAACTAAAAATCCGACTTGGCCCACTTTTTAAAGTATTGAAATTCACTATTTCATGAGTTAAGAAAACATGCTTCCAGATGAACACCTATTTTCGGATTCATGTGATGTATACGAAACTGTCAGCAGTTTAAAACAGAAGTATATTTTACTCCAACAGTCTTACTTGCCGAATGTCATAGTAGCAGCCGAGTTGGCAAGCTGTGCGTGCACCAAATCTTGCCTGAAAACTGCTTTCCCCTGAAACTTCAAAGTTAATTCGCAAGAAATCTAAGCGCTTTTTGTAGAAACTATTGTTAAATTTTATTCGATGCATGTAGCCAACTGCCCCATAAGGCTCTTGCTATACCCGAATCCTAATTTTAGTATTATACGACGTAAGGGTTCCCACAGCTCACTCTACTGCGTGCAAGGTGCGAATGTTCGTCAATTTTGCGTGCTTACAGATTTCGGTTCAGGACTACGCACCTGGCCAGAGGACAGAGCTAATTCTGATTGTGTGTGTGCAGCGTGCCGGCCTGCTGCTATTCATGCTGACAGCCAATGGCCAATCAACGGTCACGCTGGCCGCACCGCCCTGCTTAATAAATTACTAGCCACCTGGCCATTA